CTTGGAAGAGCTGATCCTCATCCCAGCCGCTTCACACTCGGCTTGCAAACCGCCCCAGTGCACATTGCAGGTCCTGGTTCGATGAAGCCAACAGGACAACATCGTCCGCAAACAGCAGAGATGAGATCCTGTGGTCCCCAAACCGGACCCCCTCCGGCCCCTGACTGCGCCTAGAAATTCTGTCCATAAATACAATGAACAGAACCGGTGACAAAGGGCAGCCCTGGCGGAGTCCAACATGCACCGGGAACAGGTCTGACTTACTGCCGGCAATGCGAACACAGCTCCTGCTCCGGTCATACAGGGACCGGACAGCCCTTAGCAAAGGGCCCCGGACCCCATACTCCCAGAGCACCCCCCACAGGACACCCACGAGGGACACGGTCGAATGCCTTCTCCAGATCCACAAAACACATGTGGACTGGTTGGGCAAACTCCCATGAACCCTCGAGCACCCTATGGAGAGTGTAGAGCTGGTCCAGTGTTCCACGGCCAGGACGAAAACCACACTGCTCCTCCTGAATCCGAGGTTCGACTATCGGCCGGATTCTCCTCTCCAGTACCCTGGCATAGACCTTACCGGGAAGGCTGAGAAGTGTGATCCCCCTATAGTTGGAACACACCCTCCGGTCCCCCTTCTTATACAGAGGGACCACCACCCCGGTTTGCCAGTCCAGAGGTACTGTCCCCGACCGCCACGCGATGTTGAAGAGGCGTGTCAGCCAAGACAGCCCCACAACATCCAGAGACTTCAGGTACTCAGGACGGATCTCATCCAACCCCGGAGCCTTGCCACCAAGGAGCTTGCCAACCACCTCAGTGACTTCGGCCAGGGTGATGGATGAGTCCGCCTCCGAGTCCCCAGCCTCGGCCTCCTCCTCGGAGGACGTGACGGTGGGATTGAGGAGATCCTCAAAGTATTCCTTCCACCGCCGGACAACGTCCCCAGTCGAGGTCAAACAGCTCTCCCCCCGCACTGTAAACAGTGTTGGTGAAGAACTGCTTCCCCCTCCTGAGGCGCCGGACGGTTTGCCAGAATCTCTTTGAGGCCGTCCGATAGTCCTTCTCCATGGCCTCCCCGAACTCCTCCCAGCTCCGAGTTTTTGCCTCCGCGACCACACGGGCTGCAGCACGCTTGGCCCGCCGGTACCTGTCAGCTGCCTCAGGAGTCCCCCGAGCCAGCAAGGCCCGATAGGACTCCTTCTTCAGCTTGACAGCATCCCTTACTTCCGGTGTCCACCACCGGGTTCTGGGGTTGCCGCCGCGACAGGCACCACAGACCTTACGCCCACAAGCTCCGAGCAGCTGCATTGACAATAGAGGCCGAGAATGAAGCCCACTCGGACTCCATATCTCCAGCCTCCCCCGGAATCCGTGAGAAGTCCTCCCGGAGGTGCGAGTTGAAGGTCCCTCTGACAGAGGGCTCCGCCAGACGTTCCCAACAGACCCTCACTACACGCTTGGGCCTGCCAGGTCTTTCCGGCTTCCCCCTCCGCCAGCGAACCCAACTCACGACCAGGTGGTGATCAGTTGACAGCTCAGCCCCTCTCTTCACCCGAGTGTCCAAGACACGCGGCCGGAGATCAGATGACACGACGACAAAGTCGATCATCGACCTCCGGCCTAGGGTGTCCTGGTGCCACGTGCACTTATGGACCCTTGTGCTCGAACATGGTGTTTGTTATGGACAAACTGTGACTAGCACAGAAGTCCAATAACAAAAACACCACTCGGGTTCAGATCGGGGAGGCCGTTCCTCCCAATCACCCCTCTCCAAGTGTCACTGTCGTTGCCCACGTGGGCGTTGAAGTCCCCCAGGAGAACAACGGAGTCCCCGGTCGGTGCACTGTCTAGTACCCCTCCCAAGGACTCCAAGAAGGCCGGGTACTCTGCACTGCTGTTCGGCCCGTAGGCCGACACCACAGTGAGAGACCTGTCCCCGACCCGAAGGCGCAGGGACGCGACCCCTCTCGTTCACCGGGGTGAACTCCAACACACAGCGACTGAGCTGTGGGCAATGAGCCCACACCAGCCCGCCGCCGCTCCCCGCGGCCAACGCCAGAGAAATGGAGAGTCCAGCCCCTCTCAAGGAGTTGGGTTCCAGAGCCCAAACTGTGCGTGGAGGTGAGGCCGACTATATCTAGTCGGTAACGCTCAACCTCCCGCACAAGCTCAGGCTCCTTACCCCCCAGCGAGGTGACATTCCATGTCCCCAGAGCTAGTCTCCATGTCCGGAGATCCGGTCGCCGAGGCCCCCGCCGTCGACTGCTGCCCAGATCTCTCTGCACCGGCCCCATATGGATCCTCCTGCGGGTGGTGGGCCCACGTGAGGACGGCCCCACGTCGCTCCTTCGGGCTGAGCCCGGCCGAGCCCCGTGGGGGGAGGCTCGGCCACCTGGCTCCAGGGTGAGGCCCCGGTGACGCCAATCCGGGCGACGTAACTGGCCTTGCTCGTACACTCATCATCATAATAATAATAATAATAATAATAATAATAATAATAGTATAAAAAATATAATACATTTTACAGTGAAAGTCCAGATCTATGGAGTAAAAAAAGTACAAAAAACAGTAGTAAAAACACACTGATTGCTGCCAAAGCAACCTGAACACAACCTGGCAACCTTAGTATCAAACTACACTGAAAAGAGATACCAACACAAATCTCCTATTCAAGCCTACAGTTCATTTTACTGTTTAAAAACTCTAAACTAAATCTTAGTATTGTGTATATCATCAAAAAGCAGTTTCATTTGTCATAATTAGTATTTTGTATTTCTGTTTTAGAAAAAGTGAGCAGATGAATGAAAACTGAACCCTCCAGTCACTTCAGCTGCACATTACATACAATGAACAAATCATAAAATCTGCAAATACAGATAATAAATGTGCTTCATGTAAATGTATCAGAGCTAATACAGTGTACAGTTAACTGTGAGGATTCATTCAAAAAATGCCATTTACCAGTAATTATACTTTGCAGTTTATAGTTAGAAAATGTGATTTTAATGCAGGATAAATATGACATTTCTGTGAGGTGAGGTATTTTGAAAGGGGTGGAGAGCGACTGGTAGCTGGTCTCCTGGTCTACAGCTTCAAAACATTTAAAATCCTGAAGGTAAACATCTTAAAAAGTTGATGACAAGATAATATTTCATAATTACATGTTTCAGTCATTTCTCCTTCAAAATCAAATTCGCTGTAAGAATCTGGAACAGAATGGAGGGCGTGTTACCTGTGCAGGTGATGTTGGCAGCAGCTGAGCAGAGCGTCTCAGAGCTCTCACAGTCCTTCAGTGCTGCCTCTGCTCCACTGCAGTGAAAGGACCTCCCCACAACAGATCCCTCTGTAATCAGCGCCCCCTGGAGGTCAGACACTCCTCCACAATCCAGTTCCCTGCAGATTATTTCAGCCTCAGTCTGACCAAAGCCCTCTGCACACACTGAGCTCCACAACTGGTCTGTGTGCACCTCCAGAGAACCAGAGCACCGGCCTGGACCACCGCTCAACCGCACCGAGTCTGAAAACCACAAACAAAACCACGACAAGTCAAGTGAGGAGCAGGAGGAGGTGTCTGGGGAGAGGGAGGAGGAGAAGGGAGAACTAGGATGTAGAGCTGTACCTGGCGGTGTGGTTAGACGTCCGGTCACAGACATGCTCCATTCAGACCTGTATGCTCTGATAAAGATTTCATAAGAAGTGTTTGGCTTCAGGTGGAGGAGCTCTGCAGTTCGTACATATTCTGGGACAACTACCACCTTTGTGTGAGGTTTTGTTTGTAGAACAAACAAGGACAAACTGCTGCCGCTGAAAGTCCATGAGACACGAGCTCTCCTCGGCTGAACGTCGTAGAAACTCAGAGATTCAGGCTTTGGCAGGTCTGAAAACAGAAGAGAAGAATTTTGTCACTATCCACAAGAATCTCTAGAGCTCCTGCAGTTGTCGTCACACAGTCCCAGCATGCACCTCCAAATCCCACACTGAGATCTCCCACAGAAACTAATGCACCAGAATGAACACATTATCAACGATAGAAGAAAGACTGAGCCTTTTACCGGATTGACAAAACTCCAGACTGACGGGAGAAGTGGATTTCTGCAGCGAACATTAATCAAACTAGACATTAATTAAGGTAAGCTAAGTGATTGTAGAAAATAAAATCACAAACTAAAGTTAAATCATTGATTTCTGTGTGTTTATTACATTTACATGAGTGATTTAGTGTCAGAGCACATTGTATTTTCTCTGTTTTATCAATTTCACAACATTTAAACTGTCAGTATCAGTAAACGTTTTATGTACTGGGATTTATATTAAAGTCTATTTTTAACAAACATCTCCAAGGACATTTTCTGATGATATAAGAAGGTGAAAAGTAAACCAGATGTCCAGATATTGCAGAATTAAGGTGAAATCTCTGTGATCTTTCCTCTTTAAAATCACACCAGCACCAGGTAAGAGTCACTCATGTTTAATCTGATTAGTTTGAACATAAATCATTGTCTACGATTTCCTTTAATCACAGAAAAATTACCACTAATCCACCACCGCCAACATGGCGTCCCTGTCAGATTTAGTCACGTGGCTGCAGGAGCTCGATTTCAATACTGTGTTTAATTAGTGAACATGCTGCATGGAGAATTACTCTGCATGTAAATGTTTTACATTCACTGTTCAAAAACAATGTTAAATATTTTATTGATAAACACGTTACTCATTTAGTGACTGTGTGTCACTAGTAAAGAGCAAACCCAATGGCAGTAAAGACAGAAGGGCTCTCTATGATTCTGTAAATGTATAGCCCCCAAACTCCGACCCATGATGCCTTGGGCCTTGTTAACTTTTGATAAAATGATAACAATATTGTCTATTGTGCAGCAACTAAACTCTGTGAATTCTGGAGGTGTTGGAGATTTCAGATGAGCTATGTCATGTCCCACTTACTGAGTGTTTGTGTTTTTTGTGTTCTGAATGGGCCCATTTACTTCTAATAATCCAGTACTTCAGTATTGGCTTGAATAAGTGATCGGGCTGGTCGGGCCCTGCTCACGATACTACTACAACCTCCACCATAACCTGTACTACTGACACCAGTGTGTGGCACCCTCACCTCAAGCCACGTAAAGACTCACTGATCAACTAATTATTTACTAATTCTTCTATTTTGTGATTGTCATTAAGTTCTTAATAGTAAGACTCAGAGCTGCAGTGACTTCAATCACACACAGATGAAAAAGGAGCAAGACGAGGCAACAACTCACCCAGCATCTGTTTGATCCAACGACAAAAAGACTGAGTTAAATCTCCCAAAGTTTTTGAAAAACCATTAAAGTCTTTTACAGTGTAGAATTCAGGCTCATCAGGACCCATGTCAATGTCCTTTAACTCACTGTAATCTGCACCTTTAACTCCAACTATAAACACTTTGATATTTGAGGACCAAAAACGCTCGACAGTGTTTCTGTTTATGCCCGATAAGTTCCTGTCGCTGAATCCAATCAGAACATTAGGTGCACTGACTCTGTCTCCTTGGTCTGAGTTTAAAATTGTTTTCACAACAGATTCCACAGCGTCAGGGGTCAGGTCTCCAGGAGAAGCAGGACTTTGTGAGATCTTCCTCACTGCACTGACCACAGAGGGCAGATCGTGATAAGTGTTCAGGTAAAACTCAATCTCAGGTTTTCCACCACACTTCACCAGAGCAATCTGAACCGAATCAAGACCAACCACACCGAGGATCTGGACCAGAGCCACCAGGAAATCCTTCACTTTGGAGAAATCTTCTGAACTGATGTGGTTGAGTCCATCCAGAAGCAGCAGCACATCAGCTCTGTGGTCCTCACTCAGAGAGCACTCTGCACAAGACAGGAGACTAATCAACACAACTTGGACCAAATTAAAGTCATTTTGGTGATTGTAAACAGCAAGACTGAACTATAATATATTATTATAATTGTAACAGATTTATTGACTTCTTGTTAAAAACAATAAATACATAAATGATGCAGAACACCATTATAACATTGTTTACATTGTTGAATGAACATTATTATGTCTTCTTTAATGGCCAGTTTTAGAGAATAAACTGTTTAATTTTAGACAGGAGGAAATATTTGAGATCAGGAGATGAGAGGTACAGTATGTTTGGGTGGTGTTAATGGGCCCGGCCCCAGTTTTCTAAATCTTAGTGTCCTCCACTTGTAATGCTCTTTACAGTGGAAGCCTCTCAAAGCACTACACTGTAGTCATTGTTCATTCACTCCACACTCAGTGGTGGTAAAATACTAGACTAGACTGCACCTTTTTAATGTGGCTGACACTGAATTAACCAGATCTTCTAATCCATATTACAGGAATATCCCAGGTGTTGACAAGGCCACACAACACCAGACAAACTCCTTTCTAATCTAAACTTGTCCTTTTTGAAGCAGTGAGGAGGTATGTACCTGTTTGAGGGTTCTGTGTGATCTGAGCCCAAGTCCCTGAAAAACACACAGATTAGATGAGTCTCAGTTATTTTAGACCACTCATTGATTGTGTTCAGCATGAACACGACACTGCAGGATAAACCTGTGATCAGCACCACATTTCACATGTTTCTTCCCATCAGTCCACTTTTCTAACTCACTGTTTTGACATTTTGAGCATCTGTACAAACTGATACTGTATAAATGAACACAATAAAATGTAACGATGAATTAAAAGTCCTGTATTACACAAAATGTTCTTCTTGTGTGTAATATGGGCCCGTTAACTACAAAAGTACAAGAATATTACCTCTTGTTTGGAGAATCAGAGAGTTTTGTCAGTTTTACCAACACTGACACTGTAGGCCTACTCCACATTTTAATTTAACAAATCATCAACACCAGCGACTTGTGGTCAGGGGAGGCAGATTAGGCACTGCCTCATCGGTCATTTTGGGAATAAAAAAAATGCTCAATGTCAATAAAAATAAATAATAAATAATAAATATTTTATATATTTTGTATATATTGTTATTTAACCTTTCAGGGTGATTTCTTGTGATGTGTGCTCAATACGACACAATTTGTGATATATTCTGTGAACTACAAAATACTATAAGCTACACTTTTTGAGGTCATGTTAAGAAAAAGAGGGCTCTCAGCGATTAATCAAAACAAAGTGATGCATCATCCTGGAATTAACAAATGAACTGACCAATCCAATGGGCTGGAGGTTTAACAGGAGACGCTGTGTTCAGGAGCTGCGCTGAAACACACTGTTACCTTTACACAAACAGTCCATCAGTCCTCACATGGACGAGCACAGATCACTCAGCAGCTGATGTTTACTATGGCAAGACAAACTGTTCACATTTACTCCTATTTTTAACACGTTAACACTTTATTTGACTCGTATTATAAACTTATTCAGCCAATCACTGACCAAGACAAAACAGTCCAGAACATTCCAACACCGATCTCCCTGTGCACTTTCTTTACTCTTACAAAATAAACCTTACACTGTGTAAATCGTCATCGATCAAATAACAATTTGACGTGTCAAATAAAAACTTAACACCTCAAATAATCTTATAATATGCGTCAAATAACGTGTTAACGTGTTAAAAACAGTCCTAAATGTGAACTGTTTGTCTTGCCGTAGTTTACGAGCGAGACACGCGCCACGGCTCTGCTCCGCGCGCTCCGCTGATCTGGACACCGCGCGCGCTCCGTGACAAAACTAAAGGTCACGTGTGAGCACTAAAACGAGTCAAATGGGCTCAATATTTCACCAAACTGCTGCAGAACACTGGAAGACGCCAGGACAACTCGAACATCTTGTATCTGTCACCATAAGAGACACTTACACCCGCAAGCGGCAATGAAGGGTCTTTTACCCACTAAACCTGTTGCTTAGTAGAGCTACATTAACCTGGAACATGTGACCACACTTACTCATTATGAAGTGCAATTTTTAGACTTAAATTATTGACAGATAGACTTTAAAATGTAGAATTGTGTAATAATTTACTTGATTAATAAATGAAGTGAAGTCAAAAGTTGAAATTACAACATTATAATGTGTATTAGAATGTGATGAATCATATTTAACAATTATCTTTTACTATTAATCTGATTTTAAAAAAGAATTAATTTTTAAGCACTAAAGAAATGTAAAAAAAAGTCATTCATTCACTTGTCTAACATCTGTGTGTCTCCACCATGTTTCCTCTACAGGTTTCTAATTATGAGATGAATAATAATTAACAATAATAAATAATAACAATCAGCAGTGGAGTGGTAATCGGGAGACACAGGAGATTTCTCTTGATGGGAGAGGAGTGCGGCCGGAGGAGCGGCTGCAGCTGCTCTTCCCGCCGGCCGTGCGCTCCCTCTCACATCTCTCATGTGACCCCAAAACCTCAGAAAAGTTCCTCCAGCACAAACTGCTGTGTCAAGGCACTGTTAACGTCGACTAAACACTTTCAAAATAAAACAATCTGCACTGATGAACTGCAGAATGAGCCTTATTGTGAAAAGGTTGTAAAATGACAATGCACTAACTCTGGGCACAAACACATAAAGCTGCCTGTCCAGAGCCACAGTGACTTCAGCTGATTTTTTGGCCTAAGTCATGCACTTATTTTTTAACAACCAGGCTAAAAAAGCGGGCTGGTGAATTGCTGATAGGACGCTGCATCACAAACTCTCCCTGTAGATTTCAGAGCCCCACTCCGCCCTGATAACAATTAAAATAATAAAAATACTAATAAATAACTAATAAGTACATGTATAAGTAGCCTATAAAAAATGAATAAAATAAAAGTTTTACCAGAGCAGCAGAGCAAAAGGACAAACACCAGACGTCCAGAATCCATGTGTAGAATAGAAATAAGCCAAGACCAAACCAGAACTGAACCAGGTCTAAACCAGGTCTAAACCAGGTCTAAACCAGGTCTAAACCAGGTCCGCCTATGAGCTTGTTCTGTGCTGATCTTATCTGATGTCACTTCCTGTGTGACGTTCAAAACTTATCTTTAAAACATGTGGAACTTTTTCTGCATCTTCAGATAATAAATAAAACACACATATATTTTTAAATAACTGTGTAGTGATGATCCTTAAGGCCTATTTTTCTGTTGTGTTATGAATTTTATTATAGTCAATATACTTGGATTCAACATGTAAATATTTTTGGAGATTTTTTATTTTATTTTTTTTTAACTATCACGTGTCTGGGGTCACGACCCCTATAAATGGTCACACCTGCTGCTCACTCAATCAGCCCTGATGAAGACTAAGTAGTCGAAACGCGTTGGCGTGACTATTAATAATTTCACCTCAAATCAGAGTGCGTCTGCCATCCTTTTTTTTCCACTCTGCAAGAATCTAAGCCCTCCGGTTTGATGAGCACCTGTATGTGTAAGTTTTTGGCCAGTGCAGCACTCCAACATTGTTATTTACAACTCCAGGTTTGTTTGTGTTGAGGAAACAACATCAGAAAATCAGAAAATAGCGTAATATGGGCCTTTTAGTTTTAGGAACATGCTCTTTGGGAAATTTAAGATTACAGCTGTATAAGGAGAAGAGTATTTTGAAAATGAGTGTTTTTTTTTAAGTAGTAAAAAGATAATGAGTGCCATCTAAAACCTCTTCAGGCATGAGTTTGATGAGGGAACAACATTATAACATGAAAACAATTATTTATAAGTTTTTCATTTTGTAATGATGTTGTCATAAAAAGAAGGCATTTTATATTTGTAAGTACAGCCAAAATTGACGATTTTGGAGGACTTATGAATCTCAAACTATGTCTCTCGGCTGGCCAGGGAGCGCCTCGAGGTCCACCTGGAGGAGCTGGAGGAAGTGTCTGGGGTGAAGGAAGTCTGGGAGTCCCTGCTTAGACTGCTGCCCCCCTGACCTGGCCCCAGATAAGCGGAAGAAAATGGATGGGTGGATGAATCTCAAACATAGTGCCAGGTTTCACTTTTTTGCTTCATTTGTTGTCATATTAGATACAAAGTAAAATATATATAATATATTATATATATAAAATATATTTGAATAAACTTAATCTCTCTGATGTGAACAAAGTCTGGGGTAAAAACAGATTTGGGGAAACCACTACTCAGTTAAAAGTAACTGTAAGACAAAGTGTCTAGAATAAAACATCTAAAGTTAATGCCAGTGCATAACTTCTCTGGTTGAGGGTTCAACACCCACTTCATCACCTGCTTGTCTCCGTGGAAATAAACAAGACCAAGTGACATGCCAGATCTGTAGAAAGGCGAGCCTGCCTGTGATTAAATAAATGCAAAGAAACAGCACATCCATGGAGACAAAAGTGAATTTGTGAAATGAATATTTAAATAGGTTTGAGTGTTTGTGTGTGTGTGGATCATTGCTGCAGTGAAAGATTTAGACTTAGACAAACTTTATTGATCCACACGGGAAATTATTTGGACACAGTAGCTCACACATGACAATATAATATAATGACAAAGAGCAAAAATATAAATGGTGATAAAACATAAGACAAGTAACAAAAAGTCTAAATAAAACAGAAAGATAAGTAATAAACGATAAAATCATATCTTTATACAAGAGGTCAGAGGAAGACAGTGCAAGAATGTTACGATGATTGACAGGGCAGAGGGCTATCCGGTACATAACGGGGAGATGTTGTACAGTTGTAGGGAGTATTATCTGTTCCATAAGGGTGAAAGGAGAGAATCTTTAAAATGGTGCACTATGTAACTTTTTGGTTGGGGTATGTTTCAATGGAAATGTCATTGCTCTGCCTGGAATATTCCACAGTGTGACATTAAACAGCTTCACTTTACATTTTCTTGTAAACATCTAATTTCTGGATGACCTGCAGAACACACAAAGTCAGGGACTAACAGAGAACAGCTAATGTTAACAGTTAACGTTGTGAGAGCCGGTAGAGATGAGCGGAGGGCGGACTCCGCGGCTTCTCACGTACACAGTGTGCACCGCGCCTCAGAACTAAACCAGATCCAAAACCAAGACTAAAACAGAAGAGCGTCTCCTCCTGTAGGCCGCGCGAATCGAATTTTAGAATGAATGTATAGAGTTGGAGTTTTTTTAATCGAGACTCGTTTTCGTTGTTTGCTATATGATTGTTCTAAAATCTAAAATCAGTCGGCAGATGGCAGTGGAAGAGGTTTTGAAAATTGGTCAAAAATCGTGGGTGCAAATGGAGAGTTTGGAGTTCAAGTTTTTAGATTATCACCACAAAATTGCATATAAGCTTTGGTTGGAATTAAACTCTAAAACATATTTTCTGTTTTACAGGTGACTACCCAATATGCTGTGGAGCTGTAAATACTGTGAGTTCAGCTGTGATAAGAGAGGTTACTTGCTCAGACACTACAGAACACTAAATTCTTTTTTTTTTATTTTATTTTTTTTTTTAGATTTGTCTGGAATTCAAAAGGATTGTGGGAAAAGACCTGCACCAGGAATTTTATTCTGCCCTTGATAACCACACTACCCATTTTATTGAAAGTTTTAAAGCTAAGAGGGGCAACGTGGGTGACAGTTGGCACAGCTTTTGCAGCAAATACAGGTAAAAGTTCATAACATAGTTAATCTAAAATGGATAAAAAGATAATTCATTTTTATTAAAATACATAGTTCATGTTAATGGTTAAATGTATATTTACAGAAGTGTTTGCGTCTCTGTATATTTCTTTTAACTTATCATACAGTATCCATTTTCTGTCTTACAGTCACTGGATTCTACTGAAAAAAGGACAGTCACACTAAGAGGGCTTCCTTACTTACTCGGAGACAATCCCACTGAATTCTTCAAATCTAGAAGCTTTGTAAGTGTACATTTTGTTTGGAATGTGACATTTATTGTATAATTTGAATATGCCAAAACTGACAAGCAGTCAGCTCCAGCCATTCCATGAATATTATTTATCTTAAAGTCAGATTATTATTGATTTTCAAATATTTGTTTGAACATTTGAAAATGCTTGACCAAATAGTTATCATGTCAGCATAAAGTTAATTTCATACAATTTATGGTTTGTCATACTTATTGATAGTCTGTTGTAGTTCAGTAATTTGATTCACTAATGGTTATGTTTCTGGCATTAATTTTTTTGTTTTTCTTTAGGATGGTGAATGGTGATGATGAATGATGGTGATGAATCCTTTCGCCAAATGGACATTGGGATCTTGTTAGTAAATGTGAAGGTGTCTCTCTTCCAACACCAGATCTTCACCCAGCAAGCCTGAAAATCATCATTGAGGGTGAAATTGTTATGGACAAGCTGACAACCCTTATAACCCCTTGTTTAAATTGTGAAATGTAAAACACAAAAGCAAATGCTGTTACAGGGAACAAACAGAAGACTGCAGTTTATTCAGGTTTAAGCATGTTATTATTGCACTATTTTTGTGAGGAAAAAAATGTCATTTTATGTCAATTATAAAAAAAAAAATAAATAAATAAAAAAAAAGATTTATAATTTGCATCTAATTAATCTTTTTTTTTTTTTTTTTATAATAATCTGACTTTAAGATAAATAATATTCATGGAATGGCTGGAGCTGACTGCTTGTCAGTTTTGGCATATTCAAATTATACAATAAATGTCACATTCCAAACAAAATGTACACTTACAAAGCTTCTAGATTTGAAGAATTCAGTGGGATTGTCTCCGAGTAAGTAAGGAAACCCTCTTAGTGTGACTGTCCTTTTTTTTGCTTAATAAGAAGGAGTTATTATAAAGTGCTACCATTATAACTAATAAACATAATAAATAAATACTCATAAATATGAGAAATGCATACTGATAAAAGTAAGTAATGATTACTGTAATACACAAGTATTGGTTAGTTAATTTCTTGTAAACATTAGTTTTAGAAACTTATGTTCTTTAGTAATGGGTTATCTTGGACAGAAGACTTTATGTAAACAGAGCTTGATTTGTTTAGTTTTTGATATTGTAAGACCTAGACATCCCAGTGCAATCACTTACCACATGCGGTTTTAGTAATGATTACTAATTTGGGTTTACAGTGTAGTACAAATCTAAGTGACTGACACAAAAGAGACACAGACACAAAATGGCAGACTGACCACAACAGCCCTGAATAGGTGTAACTGATCTGCTTAAATAAGGGGAATGTGGCTGCAAGTCAGGTGGGATTGGCCCAGTGTAGACATGCTCCACCAACCAGAGAAATACAACAGCCAAACAAGACGAGGCGAAAGAGCAACTGCAAGGGCTCCCACATCAGAAATTAGTAGTAAAGAAATTAAAACACACAAAACAAGGTAGAGAACTGGAGGCCTGGTGCCGTAACCCAGGGGAAGACAGGGACAGAGTCAGAGGAGGAGACAGGAGCAGAGCCAGAAGAGTTCTGAAATTGCACATATCGCAGGTTATCCTATATAGTGGAGCTGGTAGTTGAAATAACCGTTCAGTTTGTGGTACAAGCATCAAATTTGGAGTGGAGATAGATAATAACATGGTCTTTATGAAAAGCCCGTTAGCCACCAAAAATATCCAAGATGGCGGCCATTTTTCATATGGCCGCCATAGTATATATGTATAATAACTATATATGTATAAATGTCGAAGCATAGGTTTGTAGGTTTGTTACTTAATTAATTATTTCTATTTTGAGTGAAATTATTCATCAAATCATTTTGATGGTTATTTATCACCTTTCATTATATTTATAATATCTACAAATAAATGTAAAATAATAACACACAGTAGAAAGAAATCTCATGTACAAATCTTATTGAAACCTACCTGAAGAAATATTGAATATATGTAGTATATATATATATATATATATATACCATAGTATATATGTGGTGGCACGGCGGCATGGTGGCTGAGTGGCTAGCACTTATGTCTCACAGCAAGAAGATTCTGGGTTTGATCCCCGGATCGCCCGGACCTTTCTATGTGGAGTTT